AGGGATCACAGTGCACAGTTTAGGAAGCACTGTCTTGTGCAAAGGTTAAAGGTCAGAACAGACAATCTGTAAAACAGCAATTTTGATCTGACAAAATACTGCATACATTCTGGGCGTTCTTTTCAATTGCATTTCTTATGCACATTGTAAACAGAAATTGGGGCTGGGAAATAAAATAAAAATGCACAAAGTTGTGATTCCTGGTGCTGTACTTGGCATCTAAATCCAAGTCTGTTCATTTATCATCTAACTGCTTAATTATGTTTAATATACTTAGTTGTATCTCTAAAATGCCTGCATTTCTGAGGGGTGTGCAACAGGAATGCAGAAAATGGCTGTTTGTGTAAAACACATTGTTATATGAAGTCATCCTTTCATTTGTACATATTTCTTGGCACTAGAGCTCAATGAGGGTGTTCAAAACAACTTGTTTAAGTAACTTTTGCTAAGAAACAGTAGAACACACCTACCTGAACTTATGCAGTCAAACTTTGTTTGCAGATGCATCAATGTAACTGAAGAGAGAATTTACCCACTCCTTCCAAAGTTACTATAAACAGTTTTTGTTGACACAATAAGGTATGGGACTATACAGGTCTTGCTGAGTTACAACATGTACTGTTAGCAGACTGCATCTTTTAAGCATACTAATTTTTGTTTAAAACAGCATTATTTTGTCAATAAAATATTCAAGACTGATATACAATAAAGTTGAAACCGATGGTTTTAATTTTTATTTTCAGGTCTGAAGTAGAGAGTACAAGCTCGTGTATGCTTTCTTAATGATATTACATGGCTGAAAGCTGTCAGCTGCTCACATGGCATATTAATAAATATACCCAAATCATAAAGCTTTAACTGGTTTTGCACATTGCTTTTATTATTAGACTGTTTTATTCATGTTGGCACAGATAATCCATGCAAGGTAATTACTCACATCTCATAAACCACCAGACATTCTGCTCTGAAATAACTAGGAACTCAGGAAAAAAATATCTATCTAAAAGCAAGGGCACTTGTGGCATCAAGTCAACATGTCAAAATCTTATAAAACCTAGACTTCTAATATATGATCACTGCAGGCAATAAATCACTCAGTTTCAAATTCTGATGTTTATAAATACTAAACAAATTAATATCCACTACCAGGAGATGAGTATTGCAAAAAAACATTAGTGTGCCCAGCATTAGACACTAATGAATGTGTTCAGTGCTGTGGACATTCACATTATTAAACATAAATACAAGTAATCTTCAGCCAAACATTTCACCCAAAGTACTGACCACTGAAGGACCAATGGAAAAATATTTTTCCTTGTTTTGAATTGGTTTTAGAATTGAGAATTGTATAATGTGTGAATCCAATAGAGTGAAAACTAATGAAAAAAAGTTCTAAGACTGTTTTTTTTTGTCCAGATAATAAAAGTAGCTTCATTTGGAAACATTTAATTTGCTATGTTCTGCAAAAAGAACATCAAAAGAGAGAAAAGCATTAAAAAAAGCTTTTGAATCCTTTGACTGAAAAGTTATTGAACACTTTTTAGTTAGACAAAAGATTGATATTTTTAATTGATCATTCAGAGGTACAGTATCTTTGTTTTATTGGGTAAAACCTCACATTAATTAGAATGAAAAGAAATATTCAGAAGAACTTAGGACTTATCTCAGGCATCTCTTACAAGACATAAAACATAATCAAGTACACATTATTCATCTTGCATATTTTTGTACAACATTATTTTCCGTGATAGTTAAAAGGCTGTATTTTGAATTTTAGAGATATATATTATTATTATATATATATATATGCATTTTCCCTCTTCATATCACAAAGTGATGTAGCAGAAGAGTATCAGCAGTTATGTGGTATTCTACCCCTGTGAAAGTTAAAATGCTACATTATTATTCACAAATTTCTTGTTCAGATATGTGCAAAAATTATATCTTAATATAGATATCAAGGGCAGGTACGTGGATTCCCTATTTTTGGACCACATTATGAAGCAGCACAAGTCATAACAGGAAATTTTTATTACATGATAATCCTCAGGGTATCTCTGTTCTTCACTCAGAGATATCGCTGTACCTCATATGTAAACTAGCTTTAATCTCGCTTGCTCAGACACCAGCTGGAGTCAGGGCATGTGCTACAGTGCAGGTTCTCTGCCCAAGGAATTTCTCAGGACTCTCTCAAGCCAGTACAGCTCCCACTGAAGTCTGTGCTGCTGCACTTTCACTGCTGCCATCCTGCAGGCCAGCTCAGCTCTGCTCACATACACTGCATTCCCTTTCCTGCAGTCAGACTTCAGTCGAACCAGACTGGATCCTTACTCACCCCTCTGTACATATCCAAACCATCTCTCTGGGCTATGGGTGCTACTTGTACCCTCATTTCTAACTTGAAGGCCTCTCCCTGACTGCAGCGATCCTGCTGCCCCTACCCAGCCTCCCTGCCCACCCAACTCTGACATGCAGCGTGGTGGAGCTGCCCTTAGCTGGCTATTCCTGCTCCAAGCGCAGCCTCAGGAAGGGCTCCCCACCTTTCCCCGCTCAGCCCTGCAGAGCCCCTGCATGCTGGCAGCCTCGGGTGCTCCCTCTGCGATGATGCCAGCCTCCCCCCTGCCCGCAGTGCAGCCCCCCAGGCCGGTACCTCCGGGCTGTGGCAGCCAGGAGCCGTGAGGAGCTGCAGCCCCAGGCACGCCGCCTGCCAGCAGCTTTTCACTGACTGCCCTCCCTAAGCTGCAGCCCAACATCTCTGCCAGATCCTAAAATGATTTATCCTCCATGGGGCCAGTGAAGAGGAAGCTTACGGGGACATTGAGGGGGAAAGGGGAGGGGAGAATGAGACACACACAAATAAACGCATGCAGATCAGAGGGGAAGGACCTCATGAAATTCTCCTGAGGCGTCCATCACAAGCCCTTCCCATGGAGCCTGACTCCCTGTTCTGATGTTGAAGTCAGAGATTAGTCCCAGTCAGTGGCCAACACTGACACAAATCTGCCTAAAGAATATCTTCAATGCAGTCTCAGTATAGAGTATGCTGATGTGAATTCTCTCAAATAAGAGATAATAATAAAAAGCATTTTGTTGAATAGCACTGAAAAATGAAAAGGAAATGTAGAATTTTCTCACTGTTGTGAATATGTATTTAATGAAGTCAAATAGGAGTGGAAAAAAATATTTAACTTCCATAATTACGATTTATTCCTCTGGAGAATATTATGAGCCAGATCTTTGGATTTTGTAATCTATGGGACCATATTCACACCAGCCCAGCACTGACTGAAAACAGAAAATTTGCTTGCTTACAGAAAAAAAAATCCCAAACAAACAAACAAACAAAAAAAGGCTTTGCATATAATGTACTAGTGTTTTAGAATAATTCATGCATACAAAAATCTGACCCTGTAGCAACACAGATCAGATCACTGCTAAGATCAGTGAAAACTAAGATACCTACTGAATAAATACAGGTCATACATGTCAAAACTGCCACAGGCAGTTCAGGTTGTTATTTTTGGCCAAGATGCAGACTGCCTGCAGCTAACTTAACTCTTATTTTAGAACTCCAAATTTCATTTATTCCTCTCCAAGCTTCAGATAGTTTTTCATCCCTTAAAAGACACACAAATGAAATGGGCATTACCCAAGGGAGGGACAAGACAGACAATATTATGTAATTTTTTGCTACTCAGAACACAAGGTAAAATAGGTGCAGATGGCACCAGCATGTGGCCCACAGAAAGCATCCTCAGCCTCAGAAGTACTAATTCAAAACTGTCAGTACTGCAAGCTGTCAACACACACATCATAATTCTCACTTAAATGAGTTAATAAAGCTTGAATGGTGATCAGACTTTCCATCTTAACTCCATCAGACAGAACTGCTGTCTCCAATATAAAAGTCACTGATATTCAAAAATTCAAAAGTATTATCAGTACTATAAGTATTGCTTATTTGGAAAAAAGTTTTATAAATAACTATCTGAACAACTTGAAAGGTGTTCTCAAGCTATTAGGATAGATGACTGTATGGTTTTTAGAAAAGATGACTGTAGGGTTATCCTAATTGTTGGAACATAGCTACTGTTTTCCAATGGCAATACTGCTACAATTCATGATGTGCTGCATTTATAGTAAGGAAAGGAATAAGGAGTATGTGCTTGCTGCCTGATGGATTTTTGATACACATTCATTTACTATAGGAAAAAAAAGCCTTTTTTCCTTTTTACATGGGATAGAGGAGGGAATTTTTGCAAGCTGTCTCCCACAGTTTAGCTGTGCTAGATGGATGTGCTAGATCTGTGTTCACTTGTTTGAAGGTCCAGATGTAGATTCCTACCTCCCTCTGATATCAGTGGGAATTAGAAACCAAAGCAAGATTGAATCTCCTTTTTTTTCCACAGGAGGAAAGGAAAACTGGTTTTGAATTAAAAGCTGGCCTTTCCAGTCAGCTCTATTCCATTCAATGTAAGAGCAATTTGGAGAAAGCCAGTTGTCCTTTTCCATTACTATTTGAAAGTGAATTATCTACTGTGCACATAGAAGCCAAGTGCACTAGCAAGGCTGACCCAACCATATTATTTTCAAACTGTTATGGATTGTCACCTAGGCTTCCCAGCTACATATGGATTCAAGGCAGACTTGTTATTTGGAAAGAATCTAAAATATCTGATGCTATGAGGTAGCACCACAAGATAATGGAACAGCACTCACTTTTCCTAGAGGAAGCCCTAATCTATTTATTTCCCTTTGAAAGCTACAGCCTTTGGTTCTACAGATGACTGTACATATGGCACTTACTCATTCTTGCTGTGAAAGAAAATGACTTAATACAGGAGTATTTTTCCAGTTGTTTTTAAACACCAGTGTGTGGTCTAAGCAGTAAAACTGCTGTGGGTAGTTAACTTGAAACTATATTTGCACATTACTTTTTATAATAAGGTTTTTAGTTAATTTCAATATTTCCCCCAACTGTTGCTATAATAATGGATTAATTCATGGTTTTGACTGCTCATTCAATAGTGTTTTGTATGAACTTCACAAAAAGCACGTTCTGAATTTATGAAAGAGGATAAAGTTAAACTTGAGAAGTACCAACGTCTAGCTTTTACCAAGAGAAGTGCTAGCCATGGTTATCAACTTTATGATTGCCCAGTTAGTCATCTGTTTTACCCCAGCATTACTGACTACCAACTCTTCTTCTAAACATTGATGGCATGGGCATGCTTCTTGCACAGGGGCTTGTCCTTCTTGGAGTAGAATGGCTGACCTTCCAAATTCACATGGCATACCTAGAATTAATAATAAATGCAATCAGGAATAATTAAGGAAAAAGAAAAGGGAGAAATAGGTGACTGTCAGTTTCAAATGTATTGCTCTTCTGCCCATGCATTTCTTTGGTAGTCTTTGGGAGTTACGTATTGATCTGCTATTGATTTAACCCACTGAAAGAACTCAAGTTAGGTCCTTAAAAAGACTCCCACTGTGAGAATTGCATATTAACAACACATACTAAAACTATCATTTCCACAGAAGATGGGGCAGCTAAGGCAAATGAACAAGCAAAAAATAACATGAAATATTCAGAGAAAGTGTCTTTATAAGTAATCAATATTTATAAGTCATTAAGAGCTGTTAGCTTGTGAAGGAAACTTGTTTAGTATTCCTTTCTATGTTAAAATTTCCAAAAGACTTCAGTTTTCACAAAACACTTTTTTATAAAGCTAGTTTAGCTTCAATATTTATAAACTTTTCTATACTTTCAACTAGTCTACCTAAATTTTAGACTTAAACAAACATTAGAAATTGTCACTGTCAGTTTGGTGTGGCCAACATACTATTTTTAGCTAATTAGAGATTCTAGATATTATTACTTTGGAATAATATGCTGCAGAGCTGCTCAGTGGTATTAGAACCAGATGAAAGTACTGTTTATCATATGGATTTTCTGCTTTGTGTGCAGAGTGTGGGAATATGGCCACTCTCCAGAGCTATGTGCACACCACAGATTGATGAGTTTGACCAACTTCTATGCTAATTACTATTCATGCTCTCTAAACAGAATTCTTTTTGCAAGTTTCAACAAGCATTCAGCATGGAAATACAAACTTCACTGCTTTGTAAGGTGGATTATGGTTATACTGTTCAGTATGGTGTTAATTTATTTTCAGTCTTGCTCTATCTCTATTTGGCAAACACTGGAAAGAATAACAGCAATAGTGGTTTGTACTGCTGTATGTACTATCTAAAACTGGATGTTTTATTAGAAAACCTCACTTATGATGGTCAAATTCCATAATTCTAGTAAAAGTTATGGAGGAGAAGGAAAATTACTCCCATCCTTCTCCAAATGGAAGTAAAGAATGAAATTTCATCCCTCTGCATCCTTAAGCATATGTTAGTTATTACTGCTTTCAGGTTTTCTGATGTAACTACACAATTTAGGAGTATAAAGGAATGAGACAGTTTTTGATGTAGAACCTACAGCACAAATGAAGCAGGTGTCATGCCAAGTGTGTCCAAGAGCTTCAATGAATTTATCTCCAGCTTCAACAGGATAATCACAGCCATGACATTTTGTGCTGAACAAAGCAATATAATCTAAAATAAAACAAAAAGCAGACTTAGAACAAACTCTTAACATAATCATACTAAGCCCAAAAGAAACAGAACTTTTCCAGACAATGAATGTTTTGATTGTTTTTGCTAAGTTTCCTACTACATTTACTGAAATACTCCCACTGAAATATGCTTATTTTCTTTCATTATTTAAATACAAACTCAGTCCAGAACCCCCCATTAGTATGACATTTATCATCACAAAGGTAGAAGAAGACATAGAAAAAATCCATGGAATTTGAAGTTGTGTTGCTCACAATACTTTCAAATTAGCTTTAATATATGTGGAATTTATTCATAGGACCAATATGGTTGTACAAGAGTCTAATGACAAGGGAATGTTACAAGTTTCCATGCCTGTATTAATGTTCTTTTTGCATAAAGAGAGAACATTATGGAAACCCCATACTGACTGATTAATACATCTTTACTTTATCAAGAGTGATTTGGAAAGGTTTGACATTGAAAAATATTAATGGAAATTCCAAAGGTATATGGAATCCATGAGAGTTATTTGATGTTCTGACAAAACCTCCAGTTTTAAAGGATAGGTACCCAGTCAGTCATGCTGCATGGTTTTTTTTCTTCACTAAGAGCTACTCTGACTTGTAAAATTTGAATTGCATAACCATAAGAAAGGAATCTCCAGCGAGAAGTAGGCCAGGACCTCACTGAATGCACAAGGGCAATACAGAGGGAATATACCACTTAAACCTTAACCTCCTTCCTGACCATGGCAGGCAACTCATTTGCATGGCAAGTACCATTTTGGGAAAACATGGCCTTTCCCTTTCTTAGCTAGCAAGAAGCAGTTTGTTTGTTGCAGCAGCCAGGAAGCAAAATCTGCACAACCATGTGCTGCACATCTGTGCAGATCTATCTCTTCATAAGTGTTGGTTGAACAATTCTAGGGTGAGGCAACAGCATCAGAGGTCACAGCTCCAGCAACTCAGGATAGTGGGCAGCCCTAGAAAACTTATTTTTTATTTCTGGTGAGCAGAATCTACCAAGGAGGGGAGTAGAACAGGGGAAAATGTGTAGGGAAGGAAGTGCAAAGTATGATAATACATAAGGGAGAGAAGTGAGGGAAGGCATTGTGGACATTGAGGCAAAGACCAGTGCTCTGCCATTCTCTCATATAAACTGGAGAAAAATACAGACCCAAACACTTGTATACATGGAGAGTGGAAACAAAATCCATGCTGGATGGGGAACTGATATAATTTTGTTCCCCAGCTGCTTTATTGTTACATTGCTTCCATGAACATGAAGCACACAATTACTGTGCAGAACTGCCATACCTTTCTCACAGTAAGGCTCCCCGTCCTCCATGTGGAACAGGCTATTCCCAAATGGCTTCTTACAAGCAGCACAGACAAAGCAACTTGTGTGCCAAGTCTGTCTTAGGGCATGCATCACTTCCTGTAAAACAAACAAACAAACAAACAAAAATCTCCAGCAGAATAGGCAGCCCTGCAACTTCCTCCTGGAGAACAAACACAAGGCAGAGATGCTCTAAATTCTTTCCTTCTGTAACAGCCAGTTCCCCTCCTCAAAAGAAAGAATTGACAGAAATTGGGCTCCTTCTGGAAAGACAGAGGAAATAGGATGGCAAGCTTTCTAGAACAATGTACTTGCCAAAGTGAAACAACATGGTTCAGCCAGTTTGTATCAACATGCCCAGTCCCTGTTGCAGGAGGGATTCTGCACAAAGATTCTGATTATTTTCTCCATGACCAGTATGAACTCTTCAATGTAAGAGTATGATTTGTTAAATAAATTTCAAAGACTAATTTTCTAAGACCAGGAATAAGTAGTGTAAGTCTGTTGTTTCAAAATGATCCAGATTCTGAACTAATTTCTTTATGCTTCTTACAAGAACAATTCACAAACTAATGTAAAAATTGGAAAAAAAATAGGAAAGGTTCTTTTAACTTATGTGATTAGTAAAAATGAGTGTGCATGTCTGTTCCTAAGCCACATGTTTATCACAAAACACTCCAGTTCTGTGCAACTGATGTTTTCCTCAACTGAGTACATCTAGATTTTATCAGCTTCTTACTTCTGTCCAGTATGGAGGAATCTCTATTACTGCTTCATTCTTTTGTCATACAGAGGTCTTCCAAATCCAAAAGCTGCTGTACTGGGCTCTGATGCCCAGTTACCTGCTAACCTGTCAATCTTACGTGTAGCCAGGATGATGTTGGACAGTGTATCTCTGTCCAACAGCCCAGATTTCAAAGGGCCAGCTGCATAACTGCTGTGAATTAACTCTGTTAACTTCAGTGAAACAGCATTGATTTATACCAGCTGAGAATCTAGATCCTATTTTATGTTGCTTCCAATTATACACATAGACTCTGATTCTCTTTTAAAGATTGTTTTTAATGCCCACTGATTATGAGAAAATGGATTGAAGTCCTCTTCCATGCTTTCAATCCAGTGAATAGACATCATAGTCTAATTTAGATTTGCCATATATCTCATTAGAGAATCACCATTTGAGATTCATTAACTTCTGTTACTGTTTGCAAAACAACTATTGCTGATAAATAGGTTTGGATCCATTTATGAACCTCAGTGAGGTAAGAAGCAAAAATAGCTTGAGAAATCTTATTAATATGAATAGAGGCAGCTGGCATCTTTGCTATTTTCCTGATGAAAATCCGTAATGGGAAACTGATTCGTGCCAGCATTCATTAGGTAGGTTAAGTCAGCACTCTGCTATAAATTACTCCTTCTGCTGCAGTAGCAAACAAGACTTGGTTGGAGCCAGAGCTTCACCATCGATGTCTGATGCTGCCACCCCTAATTGGCAGTTGCAGAGAAGAGCATCTGTAATGCCAACATTTAGACAGATGTCAAAAGGTGACAGCTAAGCAGTGAAAAACCAGTGGGGGACTCCTTGCTTCTTCATTTGAGTCATACATTCACTAGAACTGCATGCATAAATACATTGCTAAAATTATTGATGGTACTCCAACCACACCACCATCTGAGGTATGTGGAGAGCAAATTAAATTGTACATTTACTTGTACATTAGTCCTTTAAGACAAAAGTGGCATGTATTTTTGGCTTTGTGGAAATCAGATCTTTGTATTTATTCTGTATTTTCTTAACTATAAGAAACCAGCAGAATTCGTCAACAGCTGTGCTGCCAACTAACAATGAGGTGCAACAAGAGCAATGGGCCTCTTCCCAACATCACTGATTTCTCTACTGAAATTTAGACTAAATCCTGTGTAAGAAACAAAAACCCAATTCAAGTGTCTTACTATAAAGAAGAGAGAGATAAAAGTAACATAGTGTGTATCAGAAAGCAAAAACCTATCCAAAAAGTATTACTTATTTTACACTCAGAGAGATGGTACCTGGATTACATATTCCATCTATGAGCTCAATAAGGTACAGAAATATCCAAGACTTCAGATGGATAAAAATTATTATAAAATAATATGTTTTTCATCATGAAATAACCAACAAACTGGGGAATAAGTCTTAAAAGGACGAAATAATAAAACATCTGCATTCACTGCTTACACTCTAAACTATTTCACTATTTCAGAGATCCAGGCAGTTGCAGAAAGGGTTACTGTTGTTCTCTTACCCCCATAATCTTAGTGTGGCATCTGGCACAGGTTGGTGCAAAGAACTGTTCATAGCAGCGCTCACAGTACACACTGTTCTGCTCCTCCACAAAGCACATGTCAGCCAAGGATGTCTTGCAGTAAGCACAATTGAATTCTTCTGGGTGCCAAGAGCGACCCATGGCTACCAGGAAAGGACCTCTGGAAACAATCATAACTTATTTGTAATCTTGTTTAATCTTACTTGTATTGTGAAAAAAAGGTTGAATGGCTGACCCTGATTGCAAACCCACTTTCTCAGACACCATGTACACATGTAAAAAGCTACTTGAACCATGAAGTGCATATTAAAATAACCTGAATAGAAGTGGTCTTTTTCAAGACCATTACTCAAAACACATTGGTTAAAACATTTCATTATTGTTTGATCTCAAACACTGCATTTACAAACAACTGTTGGAAAAATCAATTGTTTTCATATCTGCATAGCTGTAAGTGGTCTTTGTAAGCAGAAGCAAAGGCAAAAGGAAAAGGCCAAAGGCAATAAAAGACAATGCTATTTGAAAGCATGAAATAACAGGCAAATTTCCATCTTTACACATCCACACCTCACAGCAACTCCTAAAGTCTCCTGCCTTCTTTCTGTCTGACAGCACTGCGTGCAGCATGTTCTAGAAATGTCAGACTATCAGGTGACAACTTGCTGTTTTGTTATGTGGAAGGCACATTAAATTCATTTTGGTGATTGACTCTGGTGATTGTAGTTAGATGTAATGATTATTACTGGAATATTTCCATTCCAGAATATATGAAGGGCAATAACCAGCAGTTCCACATCACCAAACTAGCTCCTTTTAGTGGGGAAGACTGTCATTAAACATGGATTACTTAAAGTTGGATAGCAGTGCACAGGCTAACAGTAGGCACTGGTCCAGCAGAGTGAACTGGGAGAGAAGGGAGAGGCATGCTATGAATCACTGGTAATAGACTGTAGGCATTATCTTTCTCCAGACACAAAAGCAACAATTACATTTGGCTGCTGCTCCAAAATGATGCCTTGTTCCATTTCTCTCCACAATCCCCCCTCTGCTCCCAGCCCCCTAACTCTCCCAATGAAGCTGCAAAAACCTCCTTCAAAGTGTTACCTTAGGACCAGAAACCTGTTTAAAATCAAGCAGGGATTTGCTGCAGCCTCCAAGAGCCAAACAATTAGCATGTAAAATGCTGCAGTGATAAAAAGTGAACCACACAACAACAAAATGAGCTCTGGAAATGTTAAATTAATGAAGCAGACAACAGACATCCCTGCTGGGTAATTTAACAGAGTCTTAGGCTCTGGAACTGTATATTAATGTACAATAACCAGTCTCTCTGATACTTTTTTTTCTGCTTCATCCCTCTTCAAAGGCCCACGACCTTACCGAATGATGCTGTTACAGTGCCCGCAGAGAGGAGTTCGGCTGCTGGCTGGAAAACGCTCCGCCCTCTGAACTGTTCCCCGGGCTAAGGCAGGGGGCTGGGAAGAAGTTGAAACTGGAGACGGGTAAGCAGGAATTGTGGTAGGAGACAGCACCGGAGCACCCCTGGGTAGGATGTGCTTTGTGACGGTGGTGGTGGATTTTCCAGGTGCAAATTTCTGGGAAAAGGAGTCATCTGTTACCCAGGGGGGGCGACTCGCAGGCTCCGTGTTGGCAGGGGTGTAGGAATGAACTGGTGCTGGCGCTGTTTAAAGTATTCCAAAAGAAACCAAGAAAGACTTTAAAGTCTTTTTCTTCTACTGTCGATACAGCAACACTTACCAAAGGGTACTCCACGATACACATACAATAAAAGCTTTAGGTGATAGTTAATGATGGCCTATCCCATTGTTGCTCATTTATTCTGGGCTGAAGTCAAGGGTATCAGCACCATCACTGACTTCTCATACACATGCATTACAGAAATCATTGCCTACTGGCTTTTACAGATTTTATGGAGACCATTGTCAAGATCATGTCTTCATTTTCTTGAATGAATGGATATGACAATTGTGTGATAATGTCAAAGACTACCATATACTCTGTTTAAGACAGGTTAAAAACATAAAAGCCAGATAATATAGTAAAGTTTTAGATAGAATTCCCCAGAATTTCAGTAAGTCATGCTTAACTTTTGATCTCATTATATTAATTAAAATACAACATGTTCTACAGATGTCACTGTTATCTATCATTTGGAGGTTTATTCCTAGGTTTTTCAAGAAAAACAAGCTCCCAGAGGGAAAACAGAGAGCACTGGAAGCAATACGGAGGGAGCCAATTCAGCTCACATGACCAGCAAGATAAAGCCAACAGCACTTAGAGGAAGGCCAGACTTGTGGTTATGACTGATCTCAGTTCAGTTCTTCACTCTGCCACAAACTTCCTGTATAACTTTGAGCAAAGCAAAGAGTGTCTGCGCCTCAGTTCCTGTGTGTAAAACAGAATATTTTCCTTTCTCTCTTCCACCCTTTGACTAGCATATAAAACCCTCAGTGCAGTCTGTCTCTGTGCTTGTGTGCACCAGACTCTAATCTTGGGTGGAGTTTTATCACATTAAAATAAGCAGGAGCCAGGGCCTGCACATACTGACAAGTTTTCCCATTATCCTGCTCCTTTCAAAATGCCAGATCTTGCATTATGTAGAACTGAAGTTACTGCCCAAGAAACAGCCTCACTTTGCCAAGTACAGGAGCACTAAAAGCAGTTTCCCTTTGCAAGGAAAACAAAGCAAATGACTGAAAAGGAGCTTGGAGAGCTGAAGTGTTTTGCCCAAATGAGAGAGCACAGGCTTGGGAACAGAAGCCAGTTCTCCAGCAGTCTGGGCAAACATTCCACACAGTAGATCCCAGCACCAAGAAAATCACAACCAAATACAACATGTACAGGTTTAAGGAGCTTGCAGGCAGAAAGGTATTTTAGCCAAGAGGGTTCTGAAAGTAACATGGATCTTTCTGAATAATTAAGTGGTGAGAAGTTTCTGTTCGACTTAACACTGCTTCTTCAGCCCACACCCTGCCACATAAGAACTTACACTGATTATTGGCAATTTGCAAGTGCTTAAATTGCATATATATCAACGCACTGTGATCACCCTTGGGATCTTTTTATTGAGGTCAGAGTTGAATCTAGTGCATTTTCTTGATAAAAATTTCTTATGGTACAGCATCAGCAATGTTTCTGCCTCATAAAACTGTATCCCACCTTAGCTTGAGGCTTCTTTTTTTTTTTTTTAACTTGGAAATGGTAAACAGTATTTAAAGATTTCAGAACAGAGTTTATATTCAATCTCTTTAGATCCTGAGGCTCTTGCTATTTATGTATTATGGTATTAAGATAGGCAAAATTAGAAGTTAATATTTCATCTCCAATTGATGAGTTCAGAAGGCTCCCACCTATGAGGCTAATTAAACAAGGTGACTTCAGCTCAAAGCATTACTTTCTCTCCACCTTCTACTTCTTTTCACTCTTTCTTTTCTATTTGCTGCAGTAAAATAAAGAAACAGAAAAAAGAGAGGCCAAATAAAATAACAAAATAGGATTTTTTTTCCAGCTACTAAAATAAAGTAAAGAGCAATTACTGCAAAATGACAATTGCTGGATGTTTGCATCTGCTCCAAGTTCTCTTTTCAGCTGTTAAAATTTAATTTTACAGGCCTGATTTATTACAATACATTTTCATTCTGTGAACAAGCTGCAATTACTATTGCTTCAAAATAGTATCACTGCAACATACTAGAAAGATTTCACTAACTCTGAGATTTTAGCAATTGTTATTAAAAAGAAATTATCTGACTTTCTTAGAAGTACATCCCTAAGCTTATATGAACAATTATTTTGTCTTAGTAGCTACTGTGATACATATTCACTTTGAATGTTTATGTATTTCAAAAAGTCTTCCAACACTAATCAAGAGAAAAAAGGGGTTGTTTGCTGCTAAAAAAGTACTGAGATTCAGTATATCAGAGAATATATTCTCAAAATACCAGTATTCTATGAGTTGAACATTAACTGTTAAAAAATGACCACTTCAAATAATTCAGCAACTTAGCCTCTATCACCTTGTTTCTCTCAGCCCTCGTGTTCTCTTAGAATAAGAAAGAATGAATGGCATTATTGTTGTCCTGAGAGAATGGCAGGAGAAGAGGTCTCTCTTACCAGGAGTAGGAACAAGCCAATTCCTTGCTTCTGGGGAAGCTGGAATTCTCCCCCTCAGCTCTTCATTTATGGCCTGTGGCTATTTTCTCTCCAGACAAAGGCACATTACCAAGACTCATGCAGTAAAGCAAAGATTTATAGAGTCTCAAATGCTTTGGTCGCACAGACTTGCACTGTGAGAACATTTTTTTTCCCCCTTTGTTAGTAGATGACATAAGTGTTACTCTTCATTATTATCAGTAACAAAATAAATTAATAACCACAACTGATATGTTTTGTTCTACACTTAGTGGCCACATCCCTGAATCCCAAAGTTTTCCCATATACTGTTGCAGTACAGAGTAGATAACAGACAGAGCAGATGATGTTTTATAGGGAGACATTATTCTTACTTATGGAAACTAAAAATGAAATAATGGTGTGGAAGCTGCTGTTTTAGTATTGAAGGTGCTTAGGATTCAATATAAACTTCATTAAGAACTGTGGGAATCTCTCTAGCAATTCCTAAAAGAGCAGATCAGGCCTTTACACTTGACCGATTTTGCATACACAAGTAGGCCCGGTTGGACGTAGGGATTTAAAAGGAAAGATCTGCTTTCTTCCATTTAGGCATCGTGTTACTTCGTGGTACAGAAGTGGAGCTGGAGCTGCTTGGGATACATGAAAGGCTATGCTGGTCCGGGAATGCCTACGGGAAAGGAATAGCCAGGCATGTTCTGCCATCTAGTGGGCCTTGCTCAGAAGAGAAGCCTTTAAAACACGGGTTATGAAATTTAGGGAGAAGTTTTCAGAGTTCCCAGCTTTCTCTACTGGAAAAAACATAAGATCATTAGCAGCAGAAAATTTCCAGAATTAGGTTAGGGAAAGGGCAGACTGCCTGATAAATCCCATCTGAGCCAGATACTCAACAATGCAGTTTCATTTTGAGACTTGTTTTAGTTTGTTTGGGTTTTATTTTCAATCTGACATTAAAATCGCCTTGTAAATCCTCTCAGTGACTGATTCAGGAGTCTCTGTATTGAATATATGAGCCTGTTGGTTGGTGTTTTAATCTGGAAGTTGCTGCCCCACATTTCCAAGGGAAGCCAGTCATTGACAAAGTCGGCTGAGGAAGTTCTCTACTGTCTTGGAGCTTTGTTTCTAAGTACTATTGATTTTCCCATCTGTGACAGGAAATGCTGTTTCCTCCATTTCTTCCCAAGTGACAATTTCCCATTTGCTCTGCAACTGTCTCTGAGGACGGCTCATGCTCCAAAACCACCCTGAAGTGCTACTACATCAAATATGTAACACTTTATAAAGTACCAACACAAGAACCAAACATCTTCCCTGAAATCTCTGCCTGGAACCTCTCTTGTACCAGAGTCACTTCATGGTTCAATTATGAAGGCATTTTAGAATCTCTTATTGGATAATTCAAACTCCTAAACAGTACAGGAGTTTCTCTGCCAACTATTTAAGCCTTTATTGAGAGGCAATGAGGCTCAAAAGCAGCAACATGAAGAATTGCAAAAGAACACCAGCAATGTAAGGAAGTGAAAAGAAGATGCCCAAGCCAGGAGAAAACAAAAGCCTTTCCTCTTATTCCAAGTAGAATTCAACAGCCAGCTTTGACTTTACCAGATCCAGCCAATAATTGGAAATAGCTGCAGATATATTTCTGTGGCAGGTTTGTACATTGAACTGGAGTTTATACTTCCCCAAATGAGCACAGGGCTTAACATCAGTCAGTGTATTTAGGAGATATTTTGACTTGCCAGAGTTTGCTCTCTTCTGCATGATAGAAATACATCTGCTGTCATCATCTTTTCAAGTCAAAACCAATAGCATTTGCCTTGAGTGAGAACATGGTATACACTGGTGCACTTAACCAAAAGCAAGTAAGGAGGAGCTGAAGGTTTATTTACTTTGAGACCCTTAAATAGCTCATGAGAGCTCTGACTTGACTTTTTCTACCTTTATGTCTCAAACATAAATATCAATTGATTTGTCTGTCTGTTTTATGTCTAACTAAAATTCCTACATTTGTTTAATTTCAGTAGATCCAGAAATAGAACATTACAGAAGACAGAGCTTAAGACTGTTAGAATTGTTGGCCTTTTCATGTTTATTTGACTGTAAAGATATAAATCAACTTTTAAATTCTCTTACTAAGATCAGAAAAACCTTAATTTGAAACAGAACTGCCTTTAGACTTATATTGCTGTCTCATTTAATTCATTCAGTTTGAAGGTTCACATTTTGGTCATCAATGGTTTTAGAAGCTCAGTCCATTTGTAACACATTAATACCAAGGGAATTTAAATAATATCAAGGAGCATATTTTCCAAATGAATGAATAGCCAAATACATTCCTTACGTTACTGTCTCTGGGAAATGGAATAGCATTATGAGGTGCTTAAATACCTCATTCTTTATTTCAAATATAAGCCTAAGTTTGAGAAATTCAATACATGGTCTTACCTATTTTGCAAATATAACCTACTCAAGCAAACTCCACTTATTTTACCACCTTCCTGAACTGAGCATTCTTTTTTTTAGCAATTTTCTCAATTCTGTAGTGTCACTTGGCTCCTAATTGGATGCACTCTGTTATTTTTCAAATTTATTTCTTCTGAAAAATCAGGCTACACATTTTTTATTAGACTTTTCCCTTGCTTTTATTTTACCCTCTGTTTGTTTCACATTTTAACTCTGAAGTAGAATACAAATATAACATAATCCTCAATCTTCAGATAATCTGAGGCAAAACTAGCAACATTTAGACCCACATGAATAAATACTTTTTGGTATATCTGTGAACAAAATATGTGCTTTCTACATTTTCTTTTTCCAAAAGAAATGTGTGAGCATTTTTATTCTCAATCTTCTCAGTAATTTGAAGGCTCCTTACCTGGCTGGTAGACAGAGGGCTTTATGCTGGCAGTAGTAACAACTCTCATTTTTGAAGCAGCAGAAGGAGCAGGACTTTCACTGTAGCCTCCAGAAATTGGCATTGGTGTATATGACTGGGTTGTGTTTCTAAAAGCAAAATGTATGCGTGAACAACTTTATAAAGAGCAAAAGTTACTGATCATGAAGTAACAGATCTGGCAGCATCCAGAGCACTCCATGAGAGAATGCTGGGAGATTCATCAGGCTTTGTCATTGCTAAGGAAGGCTTGGACAATTCTTTGGAAAGAAAAATTAGTCAAATAAGGATTTTAAGTTATGGCAAGTTTGCTGTTGTTGTCATCACAGAAAATAGCTTGCTGAGGGAATATGATAAATTTGAAACTCTCAGTAACAAGGGATCAGACTTCACAAAGCTGCATACAAAGTTTGTGTTTTCTGTTCCTCTGCAAACAAAAAGGCCTGGTCTTGTCTAAGATAAATCAATGAGTTACACGTGGACTTAAAAATATACTTGCTCAGCATAATAACTACCATTACAAATGCTAATTAGTATTTATATACTGTTACAGTATTTTCAAAAATATTGAAGTAATCTTTAAAAATTTTTCTGAAACTAATCCTTTTCCCTATTTAGACTGAAAAATTTACATTAATTTTCCTATTGTTCACATTCATCCTTCAGAAAAAACCCCATACTATATGCAATAATATGATGCACTTTCTTGCAGTCCTAGAATAAAAATATTTGCTTGGGATTCCAAAAATCAGTAAGAAACAGTTTTTCTCTATCTTATGGCTTTGATGCTGATTCTTAGTTTGATTACAGTAACAGATTAAAAAATATGCCTCTTCTATCTGCCAGTTACTTGTAGTAGTGCCTGTGCTTCACAGACTGCTAAAAGAGTATCACAGTGAAAACAAGCAAGAGAGAATAAAGAAGTACAAGGAAGGGAAGCAACAGATAATGAGATGTGTGCAGTAAGAAAAACCTACTCACTACAGAACATCCTTCTTACTCACCCTGGAAACAGGTTTGCTTGTTTTTTCCCTTCAGTGTCACTCCCCCTATGAAGTAGATCCCTATCTATTTGTGCTGACAGCTAATGAGTTATTTCCAAAGTGGGTTTGTCTAGAGGAAAACATTTGTCAGCATATGAAAAGAAGCATCCATCTTTCCCAGATTATTGGTCCATCTTGACTTTACTTTCTTTAACAGTGGAAACTGATGCCATCTGGAGAAAACACGTAATAATCTTACATGGCAAACCCAGCAGATTTCTTCCAGTACAGGTAAGAAACATTCTGAGGAACGGAAACTTTCCATTTTTAATTCTGAACAAAATAAACCTGTCCTCAATGTAGCTTTTTGCTGCTCTGACAGTGTTTCTACTATAGATTTAGTTTGCATAGCATTGCTGCCTCAGGCTAATTTATTTTGTCTATGTAGCAAGACCTAGAAACTTAGCTATTGCTACAATGGCTGTAGCTAATTATTTCTGTACCTAGTCCAGGGCTTAGGTCTGCATTTGGGTCCACTGTACCATGAGTGAACACAACTCTCCAAGATAAACTATTTTCCTGGGTTTGTATTCTCTGTAAATTCTGTTGTGGACCCTGCTGTGCTTTTGTAACTGCCAAAGCTGTTGTAAGCTCTGTCAAACTTTCTGGGTTCCATTCTTACCATCTATTTCCTGATGAGACCTCCTGTGAGGTGCCTCAGGAGGCACTGTGCTCAGGATCACTGGACAGAGGCCATTGCTGCTGCCATAGCACAGGGGCACTCTGGCTTCACCCACAGCTTCCAAAATGCCATCAGCTAAACACACCATCTAAAGAATTGTCCTTGTTTTAAAATCTGATACTCAGGCTAAACTACACAGCTCAGTGCCCCAATATTTACAATGTGACTTAAAAGATTTTAAAATTATGTGTTGCACAGCCTGAATCTGAAAATGTCATCCAGTCAGGAAAGTCTCCTCCCAGGTGCACAGATCCAATGGTTAGAAAGATTCATTTGAATCTCTCTTAATGTACAAAATAAACAAAGAAGTTCTGAACCAGATTAGTAATTCTTAAACTGTCATGAAGAAAAATGGTTATTCGAAATTCAAGTGTTTCCCAAATATAATAGCATAGTAAAACGATGCCACAGATTTCCTTGTGTTCAGGGAAATGAAGCTGAAAAAAAACCCAAAACAACTCTCCCCCATTTATAGTACCAAAATCAAAGCAAAATTAAAAGTAATACTGAATCCTTTTAACCCTTTTACATGTGTATGATGCATATTAAATACAGTAAGAAAGATAAGAAAGCTTATCAAAGAGAAATAAAGTGTTATACAACATCATTAGGGGTTTAGTGAAAGAAAAGATTTATCAAAATTTCTGCTGAAGAAAAGGGAACGGCATGTGATTAAAAGAACCAAAAGAAAAAAGAAACAAGAAAGAAGGAAATTAAGAAAGAATAAAAAGATGTTGTAAGCACCAAAGATGCTTTAATGGATCAAGAAGCACTGGCATCTCAAAAAGCAGTGAAAGCAACCTCATTGAATTTATCTGTGGCAGTCAATGGCATGTGACAGGCAGCAAATTAAATACCGGCTCTGAAAACCATTAGTTGTCAGAAAAAGAAAGAGTAAATATTTCTAAGCAGATCATTTTTATGTTAATGCTTCACTAGATGCCTACTAGTAGCAATAAACTGGTTTGTTAAGTGCTTTTAAGGCAGAACAGCTGCACAAAACAGTTTTATACCTCTGCTTTGACTGGTAGCTGATGGAGGTGGAAGAATGCCGGTTGAAACTAAAATGAGACAAAAGTGGTATTTGAAAAAATATACACACAAAAGATTGGGATATCTTGCCCTACCATGAATTTCCTACGAGTAAGAAGAGCTCTTAAATGCTGAAGTAAACAACATGTACGTATTTATAATTATATGAGTATTACATTACATTTTGTTTTCTTATTTAAGCTGGGAATCACAGTGACACCTGACGAGTGAACATAAGTCAATGAGCTGAGAGCTCCATAAGTCACTCTTATCTGATCTTGCTATTTGATTGTGGAACTCCAATTATTTTTATGAGCAAAAAAAATTACAAGGGATTTTTCTCAGTGTCATAAGTTTACATTGCACCAAATCTGAAAAGCAAACCTTGAATGAACTAAAGCCAAAGATCAGGGAAGTGCCCCAGCCTGTGAGGCAGCTTGGACAACGCCATGGAAAGGACAGGCTGGTATAGTTGAAGCTGAAACATCCACCCACCGTGTTCAACTTTTGTCTTGCAGAACCTTTCCATTGCTATAGCCTTAGGTAAACGGGTAGATTTTTTTTTTCCCTTGGGGAAGCAGTGTAATTTCAGAACATAAATGAGTCATTTATGCAAATACAGGAAGTACTTGAAAGCCTGCACAACGTATGATCTGAGAAACAGGAGGATTCAGAATGAACAGAGCTCCTGTCTGCAGGGCTACAGAGCATCTGTCCCACCCCACAGGGGCACAGCCCACATTTCCCAGAACCACCAGGAGTCTGCCTTATGCCAGTTATTTTCCTAACTTCTGGAGAAGATCTTTTTCTTCCCTTTACCATGGACACAGTGCTTGGATTAAAATCTCTGGATCAGAAGCTACACTTGACTTTTAGAGCCATAAATGTAACTCTTTCCATTGTTTCTCCTGGTTTTGTATTCCCAGAGTGCTGTTGCATGGAACACTCTGCTTTAATCCTCTAGATGGAATAACCCATCCCTGAAGAGCTTCAAGCTTATTCAAAACTCTCCTGCTGTGCTTGCATCTTTTAAATAAGATTGTAAGTGGAACAGATAACAGTAAGCCAGATTTCACTGCAGATGTAAAAGAGTAACACAGTCTGTTAAAGATTAGTGATTTACTTCAAACACTCCTCTTCAGGAACATTATGAAGATTTTACTCATGTTAAGTGTTATGTATATGCTCACAAAAAGTAAGTCACTATAGAACAGGATCTACTAAAGTTTAAAATCAGATTTAAATAGTTAAGGATATTGATCAAGAAATCCTCCTGCCTTTTCTTGGTGGATGTTTTTAAAGCATCTAAAAGGGTAAAAACCACCAAACACTGGAATGATGGTGATAAAATCTCAGTCTCATTTACCTGCGGACATCCCCACCCTGCAAAACAGTGGCGTAATTAAGGTCATCCATATTTTTTTTTAAAAATAAAATTATATTAAATGCTCAATACTCTTCTGGTATATGTCAAGCTAAAACTGGATTTTTAAGTCTGTATTTTGGCATGCTGAAGCATTGCTTGATTTCTAAATGAAAACGACCAGATGCTCAAAAATTTGAATTATAAATCAATTTAGAAGCCATTTTTAGTCCCTTACATTTGAATACACTAGCTATAATGCACAACACTTTTAAAAACATACATGGAAGAAGTGCACCAAGATAAAGAACCTATTCCAGCTGCAAGACAGCCATCCAAAACCAACCAACCAACCAAAGTTCACTTCTTGTACTTGATTATCAGGGAACCAAATTTTTACAGCTCCTACAAGTCTCTGATTTGCTCTTATGTGCCAAGACTTGCTGAAGCCAAGACAGTAACATTTGCCTGTTGGTAACAGGGAAGCAGATGACAGCATACACTGACAAACCAGCAGTGTATAAAGTTGATATGCTGTAGATCTTTTATATGTGGCCAGGTGCCAGCAAGAGGTTTTAGGAGTCTGATTAGAAATGGACAGATGTTTTTCATAGATTCACAGACCCTTTGAGGTTGGAAGCAGGCTATGGAAGAATCTGATCTAACCTGCTGAAAGCAAGGCCAGCTCTGTGGTCAGACCAGGTTGCTCCATGTTTTAGCAAGCGATGCCTTGAAAACCTTCAGGAGTGGAGACACAGCCTCCCCTCCCCAGACAAGTCACTTCCTTTCAAAGGGGCAGGAAAAGCAGCAATGGTCCATGGCAATCTAATTCTCTAATTTACTTTCAATTCAAATGCCTCAATATCTCAATGTCATCTTTCTTTTTATCCTCTTTAAAATTTTGTTTTACACTGATTAGTCCATGTTGGTACATAACTACAAATGATTTTATATGGTTTCAAGGCCTCACACTACTTCCCTTCTCCCATTAAATGCATATAAAATTTAAGGGAAATGGAAGAAAGCTTAATCAAAAAACAGTATTACATTAGCTCTAAGAAAGACATGCAAGTAGTGTCAGCAAGTACTGGTTATTTTTATACTAATTTATTAGCAGTTTATATGTAAATTATGCATAATTGTTGCTTAACTTGTCCCTGCCCATGGAACTAGATAATCTTTAAGATCCCTCCCAGCCCAATCCATTCTATGATTCCATGATTTCCAGGGCAGGAATGAAAACAAGCTCTTAGGAAAGATTTAGATGGGTCCTAAGACGTAGACTGGTGAAACATGAACAGATGTGCTCTGTCTGGACAGAGTAGTCACCAAAGCTTCCATTTAATTTCATCTTCTGACTGATTTAAATCTTCAGCTGAAAGAATCCCTAAAATTAAGTATTTTCTCTAGCTCAGGAGAAACAGGTTTTGCATGCCAGTGTTTAAGCAAACTCAAATATACACAGTTATTATTGCTTGGAAAGCAAGGAACCTTACCTGAGTAGAAGGGGCTTCTGGAAACTAAAGTTACAATTGGTGTACTTCCACTCATCAGCAGTCAGTTTTATTCCTTATGTTTTACCAATTCCATACTGGGATTACTTCCCCTATGTAAGTCCCATGGCTGGAAACAGACATGTTCACATCCTAAAACTGAAAACTCTTCTGATGTTTTGTTCTGTAGCTATTTCATTTTTGCATTGGTTTCAGTGATGTGAAGCCAACCAAACTGCTATTAAATACTTCCTGTGCCAAGCACCGTTCTGTGATTCTCTAGAGAAAGACCATTATATTTCTTGCCTTTATTATACTCAAGCCTTCAAGCTTGTGCCCTTTGTCAATTTGCAACATCACCTTTGGATAATTCCTAACTATTTTTTAATATAAAGATAAGACACACATGGATAATTACAATCTCAAACGTATTACTGATTTAGTTTTTTATTATTTCTTAAAACTGTTCAAATTGTGTTCAAACGAGTCTTAAAATCACCTGCTTTTCTCTGTTAGTTGTCAAAGTGTTATGAAAGTAGTGAAAAGGCTTGGAAGTGAGGCAGTACAGCAGCATTCTCTCTTTCTAGTGATAAAAGATTCCTGTGATCCTGTGTTTCCACCAAGAAAAAAAAGGTCCATCATTCTCACCCAGTGTTTCTAGGCAAGTATTTTCATTTCAGGATGGTAAAATCAGCACAAACCAACCAAGTGAAACACCTCTGTTCCAAGAGGACCTTGTGGTCACGTATCCTACATCTAAAACGTTGCTGTTTCCTAGCTGGGTTGTCATGCAGAAGATAAGGAAGGGGCTGTTCTTTTAACACATTGTGCTTTTTCTCTCCCAATTCAATCCCTTCAGAAACTGAAAACCTCATGTCAGAGAGCATAATACAAAATCAAAACAAATTAGGTTAAAAGAAGAGAGCTTTACAGATGTACCTAGACTGAGAAGAGATAGCAGATGAAATAGTGGAAGCTGCTAATGACATGTTCTTGGGCCCATGGAAAGGCTTAGGCTGGGAAAGAGAGCTGGGGGCTGCAAGAACTCTGCAGAAGACACATAAAAGCATGAAAGCATGAACAAAATGATTTAACAGGGGCACAAATCATGGCATCAGAACCAAGCTCTGGCAAGATTCAGATACAGGAAGACTGCTGCATAGTTACCAGGAACAGGTTTTCTGTAGCACACATCTGCAGACTTACAGAATAGCACAACCAAGCACATTCCTACAGAACACAAGGCAAAATGCACACATTATGGAAACATTTTAAAAGCAGACTATCAATAATTAAGAAAAACAGTATTACAGGACAGGACTTTTGTCAATGATACATGCTTTTATCTGAAAGATCTGAAGATGTTTGAGTCTAAATACAAGAGAAACATTTTACTGTGCACAGTCCCAGACAGAAGATTGTCCTGTCAAAACCAGAAGTAATTGGAATGATTAGCTTTGTAGAGGCTTTTTTTTTTTTGTCTGAAGCAGATACTAGGTACATTTTCTTCATGCTATGGTTTCAACTGAGGGATAAAAATTATTTAAACCTTATCATGATTTTATTTGGAAGTGCCTCTCAGGCCAGTTCTGAATTTAAGCATAAGACCTTATTCAAACGTCCTTTGCTGTCTGGAATAAAACCACTGCATTCTGGTAGGTCATGGCTAGGTAGAATCTGACTAAAGTGAAAAACTACTTAGTTGGTATATACACATAATGCAAGTCAACTAGGACAAATTAATTAAGAAGTAGAGTCAAGAGAACATTTCCAATTCCATTTATACATACCTAAAATATGATACCTCTGAGGTCTCAGTTATAAGTTTTTTATATTACTGGAAGTGTGTTTTTCCCTGGATTTTAAAAGCATGTTAAAATAGGCATCTTTTCAGAATATTCATGTAGCAAACTTCAAAGATAAAAGAATATTATGTACCAAAAAACTCACTCTTACTATCTCCAACATGACTGTAATGTAAGTGACAGCTGTAGAAATCCCACACATTTCCTCACAAGCTGTCTGACAGTTTTTCATATACAACTGTAACTCCCACTGTGCTACAAGTGTTAGGAATGCATCTCCTTGAAACTTACTTCAGCTCAAAGGCTAATTCTCATTAGGAAAAAAAGATCAGATAAATCTAATAGAAATGAATTGATTTAACTTACAGAGCAAGTCAATCATCAAGTGTCCACCATGTTTTACTGATATCTGCTGTGACACAGTAAGCTCAATCATGTGAGTAAATGACATTTTCTGATTTTCCATTTCTTGTCCTACTGCAGAAACACTATTAAAAGAATCTTCACTCACTGCAACTAAAATGAAGAGTTGTTTTGGTTTTATTATAAATAGTGTAAAAACATTTCTAATTTTAAGCCCAGACTTGCTTTCTGAAAAATGAAGTTATTTTTAGGGCAGTTTTATTTTGCAAATTCTATGCAAACATGAACAACGTCATGAACAACAACATGAACAACCCCACATCAAAAAAACCTCCTAAAAAAGCCATCCCCCCAAAATATATAAAAGCATATAAACCAGGTTACAGCTTTTCATACTACATTCTTAAGGTAAGAATGTGTATGCAGCATTTCCAAAGCCAGAGGGGTATAAAGCAATGGAGCATTACCTTTGGAAGGAGGATGAGAAAGCCTCTTGCACTACTGAGGTGGTGGCTGGTGCTGCCATCAGGCTGGCTGTGTTTGGAGCAGCAGGAGCAGGCTGAGGTGCTGAAGCATGTGGTGCAGGAGCAGCAGAACTGGGAGCCACCGGGGCATGCTCAACAGGGGTACTAATTAGAGTTCAATTAAATAAAACAAGAAGCATCTTAAGAAGGCGTGCATTGACATGGAGAGCATAAAACCTACTATGTTTGAACCTGCAGCTGCAAACATAGTAGCTGGCTGGGTTACTGAGGGAAAAGCACAATTATGCAAAGAAAAAAAAGATATTTCTTCAGCCTTTTCCATTGTGCAGTTCAGACTGCAATGCAGCATTGGTCCTGCTTGACTGAAATTTACCCCAGGTGTTAAAGAGCACTTCAGTCCTGCTCCCACTGATGCCAGTGGTTGGAAATGTGGCAGCCAGGACTGAAATGGCTGTGAAGAGCCTGTCACAGTCTTGTGAGCTCATATAAATTCCATCAAATTTATTGAAATGAATGATGATAATCTAGTCTTGTATCCTGTGACCATCTAAGTAACCTGTTGATCTATTAATGTCTTCCATCACCTCCCTCAAATTTGGGAATTACTAATCTCTTACAGACAGACAAATGGAACAAAGTTAGCAGGTTATTTTTTTAAATCAGGGCATCACTGTACATAGTTGTCTTGTCCATGAGCAGTGGCCTAGAAACATAATGGATATATGTCTACTTGTTTAGACCTAAGTCATAAATATATTGTCACATCTCTGTGTTCTTACAAATTACTCCTATCAGGGTGCTGGAATTCAGTGATTCTCTTGCTCAAGGTAGAAATGCCCAAAATGCTCCTTCCTGAGCAGAGCAAGTACCAAATAACAAAAGAAACCTTGCAGCTCCACAGCTGTTTCTTCAGCCAACCTTTGCCCTCCAACTCTCTCTCTCTCAGCCTTTTTTCCTGAGCAGATTTACCCTCCATTGTGCAAATTATCTCATATTTTCTTTTGCTTCTCTCAGAAGTACTGATTTCACAAGTTATATTCCTCAGGAACTAGAACAAGTGTTTGGTACTTCTGAATTTGGGATACCCCTTGTTCTCCAAGGGGCTGTCCTGTTTCCCCTGTCCTTCTCCTCCTCTTCTAGAGTTCAACAGTCTACAGGATGGTGTCTAAATTCAGCTGAATATTTTGTTTGATTAGCTGAAACAGAAGATTGTCCTGTCAAAACCAGAAGTAATTGGAATGATTAGTTTTGTAGAGGCTTTTTTTTTTGGTCTGAAGCAGATACTAGGTGCATTTTCTTCATGCTATGGCTTCAACTGAGGGTTTCAACACAGGACAATCTTCTGTGTTATACCCACAAACCTCAAATTTGAATACAGCCCTCAACAACAGCAGGAAATCAGAATTTTCTCCCTTATGGAGAGTCATCTACAATTATGCAGATAATAAGTAAGTTCCTGAAAATAATCATCCAGTTTGCAATTCTGGCTTTCAAATCCTTACACCAAGTTTTGTAACAGTTTTGCAAAAGTTCTTCCATAGTAATATGCATTTGAGAGTCAGATGATTTCTTCCATCCTGATGCATTTCATGATGTAAATTCTTCCAATTAACCAGGAGACTATCAATTTCACAGCCTGTGTAACAGAGTACCTGTGTATTATCCATCACAGCTAATCTGGTACTAAATTTCAACACTGTAAAATTTTCCCTGTGTTACAGTGGGTACCAGAATTACCCCATTAAAACTGTGGAGTCACAGTTTTCATCTTAAATACTTACATATCTTTGATTTGGCAAAGAGGAAAGGATTGAAACTATGCTGCACATAAAAATGGAACTTAATGTATGTGTTAAAAACAAACACAAACTAGGATTTCACCCATTTTGTCTATTTGCACTGACGTGAAAAGGAATTTACTACAGATTTCAGAAGATTCAAGACTTCATACCTTGAAGAGAACAGTGAACTTAATTAATTGCAATTTAATTGTAACCATCTACAAAATAATCAAAGTACATATTCAGTGATAAATACTGAAAAAAAAGTAAAAAAACCCAATCCATATGTGTGGACATGGACATGTGTGGAGACAGATTTGAACAGAACAAACCCATATAAATAAAATAAAACCAAAATATAATAGAATACCCTTTAAAGTTTAAAAGAAATACAAACAAATTTCATCTTGCATAGTATTTGTAACATTTCTTTTTATGTGATTAACGTGTTAGAGGCTTGCTTACCTTCCTTCATGGTAGAATATGTTAATTATCAGAACAAGGAATTGGAATAAATATAAATGAAATGGGTATAACCATAAAAATCAGAGTGGTTTGGTTACATAAATTATGTGCAGTTGATAACATTTTCAAAACAGTTTTATAGAAAGAGACTGACTTGACTGGTCTTAATTTTAGCAACTATAACTTTTACATAATTTTATCTATATTGTCAAATACAATAGCCGAACTGGGTTTTTTTCCTCCTCTTTTTTAGTTTTTCAGTCTGATTTTTCACTTTACTTATTCAAGAACAGAAGAATGTCAAGAATTGATAAATGTGAGTGCTGCTTTATAAAAAAGATCATCTAATGCAACAGCTTATGACATATAGAGTGTTTTTTCGGTTGGTTGGTCGGTTTTTAAATACAATAATTTTGTAGACTTTAAACCTTTACAGTGCTTTGTATTTTAAAAGACATGGAAAAAAATCAAACATCTTCATATTTGCAGTAACAAACATCAAAGTAAGTTAGGTGGATGAAAACAAACACACATCTCTTCTCAGCTGATTTTCACTCATGAAAAGGAACACAGATCAGTAGAGGTTAAGAAGATAATAATGGTTAACAACCATAATGAGAACACAGCAACAAATGCACTCTAACATTTAAAATATAAGTATAATCTATATTTTTTTCTCTTGGTGAAGTCCTAAGTTCTGAGATTTTCTATCCCAATAACAAGGAGTGGATGATTAAAACAGCACTTAGTCTCCTTTATCTGATGCATGAAGGTTTTTGTCTTTCTAATCTTCCAACAGATCACTTGCAAAGAATCAAAAATATAGAAAACCAAAACTAAAATGGATATGAAAAAAAATCTGTTATAGCATCATTTGTAGAAAAAAGTGCCAGAGAAAGTATTTAGAGAAAGCTGTAAATGTAGGATTTAATATTTGAATATGGGAATGTTTGTGGAAACCACTGAAAATACAGAAATATCAGCTGCTGCTTCTCTGCTGAAGGTGCTTAATGGCTTGTCTCTGTATTGTAGGTGTGATCCTATAAGAGCCACTGAAAATGTCACATCCACATGAACCAGAAACTACTGGAATTGGAAGAACTGGAACCTTGGCCTTTGAGGCAATGGGCATTTCCATCTGAAGGAGTTAGAGGTTGTTATTACCAAACCATTGCAAAGCTCCAAACGGGGTCAGTGATGCAGTTACACGGCACAGTGTACCTTTGGTTACTGGATGAAGCAAGAGGGGCTTTCTGGCCAACACCGGCCTCCCCCTGGCTTGTACCTGCTCCAAGCCTCACAGAGCCCTTGGAGGCCACTGGCTGAGCATTGGCAGTGTTGGCATCCCTGGTGGATGACTTAGGAGGGTGCCAAATACTCGAGGTCACATACTGGGGCGCATGCGCGGTACCTGTAGGCCTGGGTGACAGAGATTACAAGGGTGTTTGTAAACAAGGCATTTCCTAGGTAATAGCAGGGGTTTGAGGAACAGACAGAATTCCAGCCACAGATGGAGCTGGAGATCATAATGACAATGCAGATGAAGTAATCTTGATAGTTCATTGGTTAATTACTGCTTAAGACCAGGAAAGACTTGACAAATTAAAAAAGGTACCTTGCGTTAAATCTGGAAATCATATTGCTATGAATATCAAAATAAGCAGAGCTGTGATGGTAATGGAGGCGGAGAAAGGCTGTGGTATGATAGATCACACAAGATTAAGGCAACATAGGAGGACAATAACACCAGTCATATATCAGAAATTGTTCCTGGCAAAATAAAATAATAGTTAAAAGAAAAGGAGATTTCAGTGAAGCAGCTGCATAGTCCTATAAATGGCTTCACACAAATGAAACTGCTGGTGAAATTCTAACATGCATTGCTTGTTCTTTACAATTTAATTTATACTCAGGAATCAAGGGGTTTATTTCCTTCTTTTTTTAAATTGTTAATTTAAAAATAAAAATCAATTTTCCCAACTGTTCAAGTGCCAGTTGCCATTACTTGTGTCATTATTAACAAATAATGCTTGCACTCAGATATTAACTATGCAACCTTTGTCCAAATATAAGCAGTCTTAAAAAAACCCCAAAAAGAAAAAGAGGTTGCATATCACTGAGGCAGGAATCAAAAACAAAGAGAAAAGCAGTAGTATAAAATTCTTTTCATGACTAACTACCAAGAGGTCTTTCTTTGCTCCATTTAACAACTGGTCAGATTCACTCAAGAAATACCTGTGTATCAGTACTTGGGGGTACTAATCAAAGACAACATATTTCTATACTTAACTGCAAAATTTTCTGAGATCCTTTGTGAGAAAACAACTTGACATGAAAGAACTTACAGAGGGACTGTTTTGAACCTCATAACCCATTGAGTATCAATCAAGATCTGACATATAAATGTTCTTAAAAAGATAATCTTATTTAGATTTTAAAAACATCTTGAATAGTTCAGATTGAGTTTAAAATGGAAATTGTTCTTAAAACTCCATCACAAACTGACAATACTCTGTTTCAAGAATATTTGGTTTAGAACTTCTTATTTTTGAGAAACACAATCCCCACCTGTTCCACATCACAGTGCATGAGAAAGAAATGTCTAATGAACCCACTTAGCTGAAGCCTGTACTTTCATCATCTGCTCAAACAGTGTATAAATTTCATGTTTTTGAGGTAAGAACAATATGAAGGAAGTGAAGATACAATCTTAACAGGAAGTAAATCAAACACAGCAAACATTACCTGTTTTCTGATGCTGCTGCAAGGTTTTCCTTGTCTCTGTGAAAGGAGGGGATACAGTATGAAATAAATGCAATTGCCAGCAATGGCAAAAAGCCCAACCCAAAACAACCAGGGAAGAAGAACATGGGTTGGGGAGAAATGTTTGGTTGCAAAAAGCATCCTAGAGTGGTTGCTCGTAAATATAGCTGTGAGAAGCCTCTTCAGCTTTCCAGGTGAAACCACCAGATATATAAGTTTGCTGTATATCTCTTATCACTTGCAAACAACTTTGTTTCAATAGTAAAATAAAAGGAAAATTAACAGTTACAAATGAGACATTGTATGTGTGTATACAATTTCAGGAATAGTTTTGACTTTAATAAGTTTCCCTTTAAAAAAGAATTCAATAGTATTCCAGCAGAACATACTTGGATGCCAAATCCAATCAGAGCTGGGCAGTCTTCATGGACCCGATATTTTGAAGTGATAAGCAGTTAAATAGTTAACAAAGACTTACACAAAAAGGATTTCATATGCCTGGCATAATTTAAAAATTCTCTGCCCTACCCAAATACTACTTTTCTCAATCTAAATTGGATTAGAAACAATTCCTTCAACTGGAAATTGTACCTTTGTTGAGGTGAGGATTAAATCAGCCTCAGTTTCACTGACAGAGAACTGGGCTGTTATTCTGTAAACACACATACACACTTAAAAAATAACTGATCTGTTCAAATGAAAGCAATTGTTTATCTGTAAGAAGTTAAGACACAAGTAATTTCATAAAGAATAGAATCCATTAGCCTTAAACACCTAATTTTGAAATCCAGTTAGTTAAGTAATTGAGATAGTCTCACTATTTAGCAATTTAATGGGTGATTGCATCCCTTCCTATTTAAGGAGCTGTGCTGAAATTTCAACAGGTTTAAAGCCAAAATATGCCAAATGAGAACACTTTTCTTAAGTGGCATGTAAAATTACAAACCACAAAGTGAATGTCCTCATTTACCTAACAGAACCTTCTTCCTGAAGCATCCTTGGAAAACACAAAAGGAATACATGCACTTTTTAATATGGATTTGCTGGGCTCCAATCATTAACTTACTTAACTAACTTCCATTATGCTTGGAAGGCTATTCTTAATATTTTCCACTCATACATTTACATATATATGTACAGTCACATATTCTCTCCTTAGTTCATTCCAAGAAAGTTATAAAAACCAATCCAGTTAAGATCAGCAAAGGCTTGGGCATAGGTGTTCTCTATGAATTTTTAAAACCTCTAACTAAAATATAGCCCTAAAATATATGAATTGAAGCCAGATTTTGAAATCCAGAAGTTGGGAAAGGCCCCTCAGATGTGTCTGTCGGAATAAGATGTTCCTGTGGTCAGAAGAGCCTGCCTTGAACAGAAATCCAGAAATCCCCCAACAAGGTTGATGGCTCACCACTCTGAAGCAATGAGAAACCAAACACTGTCCTTATGGTAACCAAGCTGTGAGTTCACTGCAATGCCAGCTATGAAATAAGGTGGAGGAGGATGGATTAGAGACTGTGCAGGTGTAGGAACTGTTAATTTACCAAGAGCCATCATCATGCAACAATGTTAAAGAACACAGTCAGGGCCTGCAAACAAAATACAGCACTATTTATCTCCAGTCTTGCCAAATGCTCCATGAGAAATTACAGCCAAGACCAAAAGGCAGGCAGTTGGGGTCAGGCTGAAGCAGTGCTAAGCCTCTGTTGTTACAATTAATCTGATCCTAACATTTCTGCTCCAATAGCTGTGGCTACACTGAACAAGGCAAAAAAAAGTCACTTGACTCAAGGTCACTTTGAGGTTGGTATTTCACAAAATCTTTTTCCCCAAGTGTACAATATTGGATAATGTTGAGTGACGATGGCAGGGGAGTTGTGAAGGTTAAAATAGAGAGAGAAGTATAGTAAAAATACTTCCACAGAATAAAACAAAGGAAAAGGCACAGAGTAAAGGGGAAAATGAGTTCAAAGACATATAACACTTCTTCATGGTTTTGCTTCCAGGACCTATTTCCGTTCCCAGTCAATAGGAGTAATTCCCATTTGGTTACCAAGAAGAAAGGGTCAAGATCAGATGTGCCTCTGACTGGCAATACTTGCATTTTAAGGAACCAATGACTGGATTTCTGGCCTTTACAATCAAAACATTTTTTGCTAACTAAATGCAGAAATAACTTTACTTTTGAGCCAAATACATCCCTCGGGCAGGCTCAGTAAAGTCAATACCTTCACAACATGAAAGAATTTGGCTCAGAATACTATGAGCTGTTTGTATCTCTGCCTACACAGGCTGCTGCAATAACTGACAGTAGTGGATAATAGTTTTGAGCTATCTGGGAGAGATTTAAAATTACTGTGGGAGATTTTTTTTTTTTTGTCTGCAGTTGTTTTTAGTCCCCACTGAAATGGCTTTTGATAGAAGGGCCTCAGTCAATGACTGTTCTGAGAGAACAGTGCAACTCCCACAGATTTCATTAAATGTTGGACCTGTATTTCAAACAAGATCTATTTAAGCAATATACTGTCTTCCCAACTCCACAGGACATTACACAGTACAAATTATGAAATGTTTTCTTCTCATAAGATATGCTACATGATATGATGCTAAAGGCAGAGTGAAATGATAGAAATAGAGTCTTTCCCTCGCACACATCAACAAGAGTTAGAATAGTTTGAGTAACAGAAATCAAAATTCATTTGCAAGCCAAACTTGCGTGTGCTATTGGACCCTAAAAGTAGCCTGGAGAATCTTCAGAATTTTCAGTAAATGAGTAGGTTAAATCTGAACTGTATGTATGGGACGCTGGAATGCTTTCCCATTCTACTTTATTTTTGGGCACCAAATGCAAAAGATCCCCAAACACGTACATGTAGCAGGCAAGCTGAAATGTGGAGTTGGTGCACCTTCCATCTACCTTCTTCTAGATAGGAGATCTAAGATCTATCTTCTAGATAGATAGACCTTCTCTCTGGAAAAGCTCTGCTCTATTCCCCTAAAATGTGGAGACAGAATCCTGTGATGGGCAATGAAGACCTGGTGACATAAAAACATGAAGTGTCCTGAGGGCCCACATGGTCTTTCAACTACTCATTCAGTACTGAAGCAAAAAGCAAATATTCTAATTGAGTTTTTTCTCTATACTCTCGTGGAGCAAGACTATTCTTCTAATTTTACAAATGAGAGACTAAAACTTAATAGATTTGTTCATGGTCTAAAAGCAAGTCCACAGCAGTGTAAAGAACTCAAATAAGCTCTCCCAAACCCCAGCTGATTATTTAAAGTATCAGTTCACCCTCTTTAATCAGTTCACACTCCTTTATTTTTAAAATAAATATATCTGTTCATTTCATCAGTATTTTACTGTATTGAGAACCCAATATAGTCTTCTACCAAGTCTGACAGATATACAATCTTTTTTCAAAGGGGATATAAACATACAGATTATTAGGGACTATATTTATTGAAATTAAAAGTTCTGTTTTTCTAGTAGTATAGTGTGGATTTGCAGGACTAATCAAACTTATAACTTTCATCCTAGCATGTACTTATATTTATATAAGCATATTTGCCTACAAATAAAATTTCTTTTTAAGAAGTAAAACTAACAAACTAATTTTAAAGAAATTCTGATAGAGTGTCTGGGAGTAAAGTTGTGTGAAAGCTATTTTATAATTGCCTTCCAAACATTTTTTGTCTTGAAGCCATGAAACACTGACACTGTTGGAAACTGGACACTGAGCTAGATTAACTGCTGCTCTGATCCACTGAGGCTATTTCTACCTTTCTGGATTTGCAGCTGAGAATTTTTCCATGGTCAGATGACTATTGAGGCTGCTTGCCTTTTCTCCCCCATGCTATATTTCTGTTATTTTAACAAAGACACCAGAAGACAAACAAAGAAATGACAGGCAGTTAGCTGGAGAGGACAGAAGATGACTATCATGCTGGTTTAGTTAACACTTCAGCAAAGGAGTAGAAGAGCAAGTCTCTCTTTTTCAGCCACTGTAGTTAAGAATGTGAGCAGCCCACGCCGAAACAATTGCAATATATCCTACTATGTTTGCTTTCCAAAACAGTGAAATACTTTTCTCATAGGGGTTTCCTGGTTTGTGCAGACAGTGCCACAGAAGAGAAGAAGCATTATCATAGATTCAGTGGAAAACAACCAGCAGCTCGTTCTCAACACATAGTATGGAACTCAATCAAAGCAGCTCACTAAAATCCAAGCCAATCCCTCCTATGAATGCATTTTAGTGGCACCTACAGGTTTGCTGTTAAGTCTAACAGTTACAGAATAAATGCAGCTGGACATACAGCAGCCTTAGTGCTGGGGAAAGGTTACCTTCCTTGCCCAAGGTTTATAGCGTGATATTTGGCATGTGAACTCCAATTTTAAATTTTATCTTATTGGTAAATAGATCACTTTAGTAAGAAGAAAGACTGCAAAATTCTGAGCATGTGCAGCAATTGGAGCTGGGATTTAATTCAGATAATTATTCCCTATCTTGGCCTTAAGAATGCAAATCGATTTAATTGAATGTTTTCCTGTAGCTTTCTACAGCCCCACAGTATAAAGTGCAGGGATCTGCCACCAGGCACCTGAGCACAGGATCCAAACTCTCAGTCTGTGTTCCTGACCACTACAGACAAAACCAATGCACAACAAGTTTGGGTTTTGTATGCCAGGAAATTATTCCCCTCTCACTGAAATGTTCTTTCTCATTGTGACTTCACTTTTCTCCAGGGAAGCTGAGGAAAGAACAAGAACTCAGAGGTTTCACTTTCAGAGGGTTGTTTCTAGACCTACTTTTTAATTTGTGCACATTGATGATAAGAAAATTCCTATTTCCTCTACATGGCATTAAACTAAGTTTGAAGCTGCCCCTGAAACCCAGCAATGTGTCTGAGCTGTTCAGTTCCTGAATCAAATATCTAATTGATATGAATTAGAATGGTTGTCATTTTTTCAGAATGTGGATTAAATTTTATTTCATAAACTCTCTCAAGGATTTTCT